GGAGGAAGGGTCTGCTCGACTTAGATGGAGCTTTGTGTAGGGCTCGCTGCGATCGTGGAGGATGGTGGTCGGCGATGGAGACGGGGCCTGCGCAAACGGTGAAGATGGTGATGGTGATCGATGGTGGTGACGATGAACGATGGTGATGGTGAAGCTGGGGAAGAAGGTAGTCGATGATGATGCGATGATGGGATGATGAAGACGATGAAAGCTTCGGGAATATTAAAAAAAAAAAAAGAGGGAGAGGGCCGAGAGAGATCGGTGAGAGAGATAGAGATAAGGGGAAGAGATATTATTAAGTGTGGGATTTAATACCATGTTTAAAAAAAACTCTTGCATGATAGAACTAGGTATTTGATAACAATTAGGATTCTTGTTGCTTGGATAGGGATGAAAATATCGTAAGGTCTTGAGCTTTCATCTGGCTTAGGAAAATTGGACTGTTATTTGAGCTCAATTTAACATCTTAATATTTATTATCTTCATTAATACATTAAAATTATATTAACTAAATTAAGCCATTTCATAATTAAAATTATATTAACATTATTGCATTAATACTTAGGAAAATTAAATAGATGAGGACATCTAAATAATTCATTTTTTAATCATTAACTTGATAAATAAATGAGTGTGGACACTCACTTAATTATCACATAAAATCGAGCTTACAATAAAAATAAAAATAACTTTATAAATCATTAAATTAAACATAAATAATATCCATGAAAAATAATACTAAGCATAAAATGAACGACATGAGTTTGGGGTGTTACAATTTACCCTTGTTAAAAATTTTCCGTCCCCGGAAAAAGTTCTTATTCCTAGAGTTCATCAAACATAAGAAATGAATTAGATTCTAATTACTGCCAACACTTCCATTCGAGCTATGCTCCTCCTCAGCTGGCTCAAGTTCAGTTAGGTCTTCTTCAGTGGTCTCCAATCCGGTCTCCGGTGGAATTTCTTTGTCTTCCCACAAGTTTCCTACTTTCAGAACTAAGTCGTAAAAGCTGACCACATCCTCCTTCTGTCGATTCCCATCTCCCATACCTTCAATCAATAGCTCTATATAGAGTCTATTGACATCGGCCTTCCACTCCAGTGGCAACACGGTGAGTGGCATCATGCAGCCATCCCAATGGGACAATGCATCTTTCTTTATCTTCCTATCCTTTCCCATTTTCCATGCACCTTCCCATAACTCGAATATCTCTTGGACGTTCGCTCCAACAGTTTTCTGGGAGTCGTAGCCGTACTGTCGGAACTCATGGATCTTTCGGGACGTGCGACAACCTGGTCCTAGAACGGTTTGCGTAGCTCGGATGATTGCCATCTAATCAACAGTACAACATCACATGCATGCTTACGAAGAACATATCGACAATGATCATAATCTAATGAAATAAATTATCCGAAATTCCTTAATCCAATCCATGCGAAAATGAGGCAAAGCAATATCCCATGCGAAAACAAAACAATAGTTTTAAAAATCCGAATCTCGAAATCAAACAATTCAAATAGAAGACACTTATTTCGGCTCTCCCTTCATTTCTTCCTCATAATGAGCCAAGGTTTAGACCCTCGCTGGAGCTCTTTCTCCAAGCCTCCCTTGTCTGGCCGGAGGTAAGTTCTGCTGTGGTGGTGGTGGCGGTTGACCGATTCCCGGACAATTTACCCTCAAGTGCCCAGGCTTCTTGCAACGAAAGCATACGTTTTGCCCCAACAGACACTCTCCACGGTGCTTCTTGCCACAATTGTGGCATTCTTGCCTATCCACAGTGGGCACTTGCTGCAGTGGTCGGGGTTGGAGAGCTTGGCCACCTTCTTCCTTCTTCTTCGGGTGTTCGAATTTCCTCTTCTTGTTACTACCCGAAGCTTGAGCCTCCATGACCAAAGTAGCTTCCTTTTCTAGCTTGATGCTTGCCTCAATTTATAGCACCCTACCCACAGTTTCAGCATAGAGAAGATCTCCATGGCTCGCCACTAGGTGTTGGATAGTAGGTTTCAAACCTCTTCTAAACTTCTTCGCCCTTTTGTCATTCGTGCACCAGATGCTCCACAAAATAGCCCAGCCTAGTGAATTCTCTTTCATATTCATCCACAGTTAGGCTCCCTTGAGTTAAGTTCCAGAATTCACTTTCCAGTTGCTCGCGATAGTGTTTGGGATAGTACTTTTCCGCCATGATCTCCTTAAACATCTCCCAGGTCAAATTCGTGCGTTCGTCCGCTGGCTTTGTCCTCCAATAGGTGGTCCACCACCTCTTAGCATCCTCTTTCAGCTGGTATTGACCGCACGTTATCTTTTGCTGATTGGTGCATCCCAATATCTCAAATATATCCTCCATGGTCATGAACCACTCGTCTACATGCGCTGGTCCTTCTTTTCCGGTGAAAATCGGTGGATCCATCTTTCGGAAATGGCCCATCATTTTAGCTTGATCCATGCCGGTGGCCGGTGGAACCACATTTTGATTTCTTCTTGCCATTTCTGGAAGATACTAGAGTTAATCGTTTGCTTCTAAGCTCACTATGTTTGATCATCTCTAGAGTTCGAATCCATTCATGGGTAGAATCTTAAGACCCAACTCATGTTATTCTATTATGCGCGTAATAACTTAACTCAAATAGCTTACCTCGGAGTTGGCATGGTGCGACGGTGACGAGTGGTCATTTCTTTGAAAACATTTTGAAAACACTTTACGAATCTACAGAACCACAAAACTTGGGCTCTGATGCCAAACTGTAACACCCCGCTTTTCGTACATTGAATTTCTTGAATAATTTTTTTTTTATAAGACATTTTTTTAAAACTTTACTTGGAACTCAGGGTGAAACTTACTTTGAAAAACATTGCATACATGAACCTTTTCATGAACATAAACATTCCATACATGAACATAGAACATTTCATGGTGTTGCCTTGAGAACTTATACTTTAACTTGACTTGCATGAACCATGATTTATTTCATAAAATAAACTTTGCATAGCGGAAGCTTTTAAAACATAAGTATCATAAACATTAAAACATGTGACCACCCTCGCCATCGCTCCTTTGCCAGCTCGCCAAAAACCTGGGTGTGGAAAATAAATGGGGTGAGCATTTCCACTTACTCCGTGAGAGATCTCTCTACGATATCATCCTAATCAACTATAAAGCTTGAAATCATTTTCGTATACTCCACATAATCATGAGCTCCCGACGAGTTGTGACCCACAAGTCGAAAGACTTTCTTGCTTCTACAACACTATTAGACAACTAAACACTAGAGCCTTTGCATGCAGGTGATTACATTCTTGTCAGACTCCCACCACTCATCAAACTTCTTATACCACTGTGTGGTGGTGGAAGAACAATGCCTCTCGCAGATGGCACGGCCAATTAGGCTTTATGAGAGTACCTTTCAATAGGTTTAAGGAAGACATCCTTTCACTAGGCTCCGTACAGTCTTATCGACGGGGACAAACGTTCGAAGAGTGCACCAACGAAGGTTACACATAATCACTTACACCCTCTAACCCTAGCACTTACCTACCCTCTAGAGTTATAGTCCGTGAACCTTGGTACTGCAACACAAGACTTGCTCGAATGTTGGAACATTGTATAAACATGGGTACTATGCAAGCTACTTAACTTCATTCATAGCATAGATAATTAAAGAGGATAAATAAAGTAGAACTTCCCCACCTTTTCAGTAGAATGCTCGACTTAGACATGAACTTGAAAGAAATCTCGAGGGCTCGACGCCTCCTAAAACTACATTCATTGGGGTCATGTCTTAGCGTCTTAACATGGAACTTATTCTTATACTTATACTTATAATCATACATAAGCTTCTAGAAAAACTTTGCTCGCTTGGCTTCGCCTTGCTTGCATTCTTTTGAAAACATTCTTACTATAAAACATTTGGACAATCGAATTCTTAGCTTGCTTGCTTACGGTTACTATTATAATCGCCTAAGGTTCATCATGATCTCACTCGATGCTTTACAGCTCATACATGTCACATAAGCATGCTTTATAAACATAAGACTCACTTAAACAATTACACTTAGTCCTTTGACAAAACTTAACACGCGCTGCATTTTTAAAACGAGCATATCTTGCAACATACAAGTCGTATTAAAATGATTAAAGTCTCATATTGCTCCTAAGACATGATACTACAACTTTTATTTATCACTCAGAAGCAAATAAGGTCATATACATGGTCCAAAACCAGAAAACATTCAAAGCTAAAATACTGTCCAGAGATTTATCATAAATTCATGCGCGGTTTTACGAAAGCAGGTATCATTCACTACTCGGACTATATTTTCGCTTGTTCCCAGAACCACAAGAAAGATAACACATAGAAATACAATTTCAATGAAGACTTCAGGTTCATTTGAGCATATTATCATATCATAAACACATAAAACATCCAAACCTAACTGCAGCCGGATTTAAGAAAAACTGCTCGCGCAGTCAATTTTGTAAAAATCATAACTTATTCGTTTTAAGTCAAAATTGCACGATTCTAAAGATCACGTAAACAAAACCGAACGAACTACATATCATATGAAGAACTCGAAAACCAAAAATAACATCTCAGGGGCCTAAATTGCTTCCGAACAGACAGCACGAAAATGACAATTATAGATGAAATCATAACCTAATTATCCGAACTTCATATCATCTTGAAAGCAACATATAATTGATGATTCTAGCACGTTTATCACACAATAAGACACGATTATGAACAAATAAATTGATAACAATTAACCCTATTCACATATCATTCAATTAATTCTTTCGGAAGCCCGGCAAGGCTCCGACCAATTCCAACTCAACAATAACTCAACAATTATTTACTCGGACCTTAAGCAAGCATACGAGATTCAATTATCAAGTTAACACATTAATAATTCTTATGTTATTAACCGAATTCAAATTAACAGTCCAAGGAGGTTAAGGCGTTAGGGTTTTACCGCTCGGGAAAAGGCTAACGGTTCGAAAGAGGGCTTGGTTGAACTTGGCCGTGTACGTGGAGGGGTTGTTCGTGGCTGAGGAACGGTGGTCTATGGTCCGCCGGTTGCTGCTGCTGCGAGAAGGGATGTCAGCTACGGTTGACTCTCTGACGGAACTCGACGGGGCTCGACGGCTACGATGGGTACACCGACGGAACTCCTCGAGTCCCGACAGCGATGGAGCTACGATGGTGATGGTTGCTTACGGTGGTGACTCGCGGAGAGGGAGGAGGACGACGGTGCTGCGCGTCGATGGCTGGGACATGCGGCCGCGATGGATGGCCTGTGGAGGTGCTCGCTGCGGTGGCGCTGAACGTGGAGGAAGGGCCTGCTCGACTTAGATGGAGCTTCGTGGAGGGCTCGCTGCGATTGTGGAGGATGGTGGTCGGCGATGGAGACGGTGTTGGTGTTATATACTTAAGCTTTGCTTTAGTGGATATTACACTTGTTATTCCTTGATGAATGAAAATTATGTTTGGTTAAATAAGTTCCACGTTCTGTTGTTTTGCAT